ATGTTCCTGTTATCCCTGATCTCTCCAGGACCTTTATCATGAAGGGGTGTTGGATTTTGTCGAAGGCTTTTTCAGCATCTAGTGAGATGATCATGTGGTTTTTCTTTTTCAGTTTGTTTATATGGTGGATTACACTTTATAGATTTTTGTATGTTGAACCATCCCTGCATCCCTGGGATGGAGCCTACTTGATCATGGTGGATGATTTTTCTGATGTGTTCTTGGATTGGGTTTGCCAGTTTTTATTGAATATTTTTGCATCAATGTTCATGAGGGATATTGGTCTGTAGTTCTCTTTCTTAGTTGTATTATTTTGTGGCTTGGGTACCAAGGTAATGGTAGTCACGTAAAAAGAGTTTGGCAATGAACCTTCTGCTTGTATTGTGTGGAACAATTTGAAGGATATTGGTATTATCTCTTCTTTGAATTTCTGGTAGAATTCTGCACTGAAGCCATCTGGTCCTGGGCTTTTTCTGGTTGGGAGACTTTTGATGACTGCTTCTATTTCCTTGGGGATTATAGGTCTGTTTAAGTTGTTTATCTGATCTTAATTCAATTTTGGTAAGTGATATCTATCCAGAAAATTGTCCATTTCCCTTAAGTTTTCCAATTTTGTGGAGTACAGGTTTTCAAAGTATGACCTGAAGATTCTCTGGATTTCCTCAGTGTCCATTGTTATGTCCCCCTTTTTATTCCTGATTTTGTTAATTTGCATGTTCTCAGCTGAGCAATTAAGACAAGCCCTTGACAGATCATCAGGGTTTAAAGATTACAGAAAGGATGGACTTTTAGTTACTTTCCTGGGAGAAGTGGGAAAGATAACAGATGACAAATGAGTACAACTTAGCCCCAGTGTTGGGGAATCAGGTCCAGTACCTTTCATATGTTGGGTTAGCCCTCTACCACTAAGGTACATTCCCAGCCTCACATCCCTTTGGCCAGTCATTGGCCATGCATGAAGGGTTGGCAAAATGTACTTATTTCTCCCTGGCACAAGTTATGTGACAATTTCAAGCAGCCACACGTCTGTTAGAGGACCTACATAAAACTCAATAGTGACATGAACAAATGATCCAAGTAGAAAACAGGCAAAAGCCACGAACAGACATTTCATTAGATGGCAAATGGCTATCATACAAAAGGATAGTCAACACCATATTAACCCATTAAAACCCGTAACTTGGCTGTTCTGTTTGAGTTAGCTGCTATCCGTCCAAGGAGAGGAACAGTAGAAAGACTGCATCCAGGCACCAGGACCCAGCAGGAGAATATTGACCAGAAACCAGCAGCCAGGCTGTAACCTCCATGCCAGGAGCTGCTACAGCAGGAAATTTCGTGTTTTTATAAAGGGAATTCTGTCCTGAGTAACCCATTTGTCCTTTTTTTTTTTTTTTTTTTGACATTAACACCGTTGTTATGGGCAATCATTCTATCATCGCCCCAGTGGGCCAAAGTCAGATCAAGGGGTGAGGATGGAGGTTGTGTCCCAGTCAGCTCCATACTTTCAGTATTTTCAAGACAAGACAAGTAAACAAATGAACAAACACAGCACTTAGACAAGACAGAGAAGAGACAATGCTGCAGTCAAACAGAAGGGCCCAAAACAGAGCATCAGATTTCTAAGGAATACAGAGGGTTGGTTTTCACCAAGCTCAACCAGACCAAAATCCATACAGAAGGTACAAGACACACCAGGGGATCACTGTCCTCAGTAATCTCCCTATGAACAGACAGGATACAAGGATCCCAACTGGATGACCCAGATGGGACGCCGTCCAGATGATCTACACAACAGCTTGTGTACCTAGGTATGTAAGACCAATGTAGACTTTAATTAAGATACCAGCCAGAAGAATTCAGATGCTGGCTGGAAGGAGGACAGAGAACACAGAGAACAGAAAACAGAGGATCTGACTTACCCAGCTGAGTGGGATAACCTTTGGGGTCTGGGGTATAGGGGAGGTCTCTGGGTTTCCCACACAATGCACCAAAATGTTGTGTCCACGTATTGAAGGTCACCTTCAGAGACCAACAAAGAGACAGACTTTACCAAAATGCAAATGCAATGCTTTAATGTTTAATCCTACCAGTAGAGACCTCATCCAGCCAGCTGATGCAGTAGCTACCTGGAGGAAGCAAAGTCCCTTGTCTATTGCCAGAATTTAAAGGAAAAAAAAAAAAATCTCTGGATTACATCAGTAGGAATGGGTTTTATCCTGATTGGTTGACATTTGGAGAACAATTAGGGGAATTTCCCAGAGTCAGGGCAACTGGTTTGTTAGTATTTTTGATTGGTTGCCTACAGATGGGAGCATTAGTGGTTTCTATGGCTTTGTCTGTTACTTGCAGTAGTCTGTTCCCATTGGTTGATGCTGGGAGGGAGCATTCTGTGTTTTTGTTTTGTTTTGTTTTGTTTGTCAAACACAGTATCCAGGTACTTTCTAAGTCTAAGAAGAAGGTTGTCTTGGAGTTTTGTTCCCTAGAGGCTAGGGAACTGGATCTGTTATGAAGGGTTTTTTTATAACCTTTACATTTATGTGGTTTTTCCCCAGTATGAATACTAAGAGTTGAATGGGAACTTAAGGCTTTGTTATATTCATACAATTTCTCCCCAGAGTGATTTATTAGAAGTGAAGCCTTTGGGTTTAGTTTACCTCTTTCAGATACAAAACTATACATAATGATAGCAAATATCAAGTATGCTCTTGGTGAGGGAAAGGTAAAAACATTCACAATTTAAGACCTACTGCCAGTGAAACAACGCAGAGCAATTGGCATGAACTATATATCCAGTCCCAGGGTAAAGGTTTAACAGATTATGACAAAGTCGTCCTAAATTGTAAAGTTTGTCTTGTACCTAATATTTCTATATAAGAAATGACCGTGCCTAAAAAGGCATGTTCAGTGTTACAGGTGGGGGAGGGGGTGGGGTGGGTGGCAAGGTGTTCATGGTTTTTCCTGTAACTAGGGCTAACATCAGAGGCAGTCCTATCCCACTGACTAAGCAGGAGGGGTTGCATCCTGCTCTGGTCTTTGTGCTATGGCTGCAGTTCTGCTCAGGTCTGTCTCTCTCACAGGGGCAAGAGATAGAAATGTACAGAACAAATTTCAGGGGCTAACCTTAAGGAAAAGGCAGATGGGGAATCCCATAGCATGTTCTTACCATTCGATTAAAATCCAAAATGCCCTCTTAGCCACAGTAACAATACACACCACAACTTAAGCCATCATTCACCAATCAGGAATGTGAAAATGCTTCTAGAGACTTGTTTGCAGGCCAAACTGAGGCATTATCTAATTTGAGGATCCCTGTTCTCCAACATCCCTCAATTGGTCTAGCTGATAACTGAGTCACCAACACATGCTTGTATGTAGAATGCCAGAGATCACAGTGTTTCACCACCTTATGTGATTGCTATGATTGTCTAATAACACCAGAATTTTGCCTTCTTGTTCATTCCTTTTATGTCTCTTAATTATTTTACCTGTTTGTGTAGATGTATGTATTCTTGTGGGCATGAGCTGGGCTAATAACATTTGGGAAAGGGATAAGAGAGGAGTATATCCCTGATCATCAGATCAAGAGTAACAGAAACTTGTGTGACACACATACAATAATAGACCAAAGAGTAGGCTATGTACAGATCTGAAAGTGAGACACTGGATTAAAGGTCTGCTATTTCCAATCTCTCACTCTCTGCCAAGGAACTAGGAGGATCCAGTTCCTCTCCAAATGGATCCCTGATCTACCAGCAGGATTCCCCAGGCATCCCACAGTCTCTTGAGCTCATCTTCCTAGATGTTAAACTGTCTTCACAGAGGGAGCTCCAACAGTCAGAAACAGAAAGCAGGGTACAGAGTTTCCCTGAAGGATTCAGAAAGTTACCTGTTAGTTGGCATCTCAAGACTCAGTGGATGATAGTTTGGGGATCCTGGGGAAGCCCCCAAATGCTGTGCCCAAAGTCCACCACAATAGACCACCAAGAGACCAAATGTGAAGCAAAACCAGCACTTGGAAGAGCAGAGCAGGAGAGACACTGAGCAGCATGAGGTGGGGGCTTTAATAGAAGGTAGACAAGGAGGAGCTTGGGGGATTCCACAACTCATAGTTACAGATTGAGATGGGCGGAAGCAAACACTAGGGGTATCTGGACTGATCTGATTGGCTATTTTGAGTCCAGGGACGTTGTGACATTTTAGTCTCAGCAGGACACATGGAGTTGTTTTTCCATTTGTGATTGGTTTCTCCCTCTGGGTGAGGTGTTCAGGGTTTATCCAGTAACTAGGGTTAAGGTCCAGGATAGTCCCATCCACTGACTAAGTAGTGTGGGACTACATCCTGCTCTGGTCTTTGTGCTATGGCTGCTGTTCTGCTAAGGCCTGGGTCTCTCACTGGGGCAATAGATTAAAATGTACGGAACAAATTTCAAGGTCTCAATTTAAGGAAAAGCCAGATGGGGAATCCCAGAGCACCTTCTTGCCAAGCAATTCCAAAACGGCATAGATTTATCCCAAAACACAATATGTTAAGGTGTTTTTCTTTTGAATTTGTTCCTTGTTTTTGTTTTCTTATCTTTGCCTGAGTGCTTGCTTGTTTTGGTTTTGGGGCCAGATTTCTTTGTGTTCTATTGGCTGTCCTGGAACTAGCACTCTGGCCCTGGTAAGCCTCCAAATTACTGACTTCTTTTCTTGGGCACCAGGATTTCTGGAATTAAAAATGTCTGCCACCATGTCTGGAATGTTGTTTGGTTTTGAGTTAGGGTCTCCCCATTTACCCTTGAATGATTTTATTTTCTCAGAGGTCTGCCTTCCATCAAAGTTTTAGAAGCTTTTGGCTGAGGGGGCAGAGTGAATAAAGTTGGCCAATCAGAGGACTGAACTGTCCAATGAGTAGCACAGGTAGTCACAGTGCTCTTTCCAGAAAACCTTTGTAAACTTCTCTAGCTGAGAGAATCTTTCTGAGGACCTGGTTTGGTGACTGTGTGTTTTGCTGACTTCAGGCCTCTTTGGGAGACACCTAGACACATCAGAAGCACGAAATGGTGAGTGTGCCTTGGGCTGCTGGGATCCTGAGAGGTGGGTTTGGGACATTCGCTCCTTTGCAGCACCAGCAGCTGCATTTCCCCCTGGAGCTGTGCAGTCCAGTGGGAGGTGGAGTCTGGCCCAGGAGCCTGTGCCCAGATGCTCTTAAAGTGAGACGCCCCCCACAGGCAGCAGCCTTGAGCCCCGTGTCCCCCACTTTTCTGTCCTGATGAAACTGCTTCCAGGCAATCCTTTCGTCCTTGCAATTGCAAAAAAAACACTGATTTCTCAGCGCTGGCAGGTTGGTGATTCTGAGTACATACTGTTCCATGTGTGTTCATGAAATTTCCTTAGTTTCCTTTCTTGTTCTTCTGTTTAGGCTGATTTAGGTTTTGTTTGTTTGTTTGTTTTTGTTTTTGTTTTTTTTTTCATTATCACCTTGGTGATCTTTCCTGACTCCTGCAGTCCCCTCCCCCATGTGGTCTGCCTCAGAATTGATCCCCATGCCTCCTGGTGTTAGAGAAGTTTGCCACAGAGCTGTGTCTGTAAGCCTTATTACCACATACTGCATGTTTTTTCCCAGTTTTTCCTTTTTTATTTTAGTAATAATATACAAGAATTTTTTCCTAGTTCTTCTGAGAGCAGCTGTTCAAAATTACCAGTCCAAAAAAACAAGAGGTGGGGGGGGCGGTTTTTTTTGAGACAGGGTTTCTCTGTGGCTTTGGAGGCTGTCCTGGAACTAGCTCTTATAGACCAAGCTGGTCTCGAACTCACAGAGATCCGCCTGCCTCTGCCTCCCAAGTGCTGGGATTAAAGGCGTGAGCCACCAACGCCCAGCTGATGACTACATTTTATGCCACCCTAGAGCCCTCATCTAGCAGCTGATGTAAGCAGAGGCAGACATCCACAGATATACACTGAACTGAACTGTGGAACTTAATTACAGAGAGGGAGGAATGAAGAGCAAAGAGGTCGGGACCAGGCTGGTGAAACCCACAGAAACAGCTGACCTGAACAAGGGGGAGCGCATGGACCCCACACTGATGTCTGGGAGGCCAGCACTGGACTGATCCAGACACCTGAATGTGGATGTCAATGAGGAGGCCTGGGCACTCTATGGAGCCCCTGGTAGTGGATTAATATTTACTCCCCATGGAGGGCCTTACCCTTCCTGGTGAGCAGAGGGGGGATGAGATGGGGAGCTGGTGTGGGGTTGGGGGGAGGGGGGAGGGAGAAGGGATTGACATGTGAAGCAGCCTTGTTTCTAATTTGAACTAAAAAAAGAGAGAGAGAAAAATTTAAAATTGCTTCACATTTTGTTTGCAGTGATTTTGTTTTTTCTTTTAATTTGAGCCCCCAATTAGAATTTTGAAAAGTTACAGAATGTGAAAAGGTCAGCGAGACTGACAAGAGCTTCATGGAATTGGCTGTGTTTTTGTGGTTGCTCCTTGTTTGGCTCTAGGCTGCTTTAGACAGAAGGGATTGGAAATGCCAGTTCTGTAAAAAGCACTTTATAATATTGCAGCCCTTTGGGAAAACACTAATATTTCATCTCATTCCTTTGGCCTCCAGATAGGTGGATTTGGTAGACAGTGTGATTCCTGTCCCCTCAGGAAACCGTAGAACGTTCATGTGAGAGAAAGACAAGCGTGCTTTCTACCCGATGGGAAAATGGTTTTTAGATGAAAGTTGACTTGAGTGAAGAAAAACTTATATTTATTACTCTTGTGTGTACGGTTAAATTTTCATTGTAGTTTTAACTTATAGATAATACAGCATTGTTTCTTTCCTTGATTTTTTTGTTTGCCTGTCTGTTTATTTTTGGTGACAGAATTTCTCTGTGTAGCCTGAACAAATCCTTTGACCAGGCTAGCCCTTAACTCAGAGGTCACTCTTCTCTGCCTCAAGCATTCTGGGATTAAACACTTGCTGATCTTGTGGCCTTGAATAACTGGTTCTGTATAATTAATTAAATTCCCTATATTAAATATATATTTAAAAGGTTTTGTTGTGGGTTTGCATAGCAAAACAATATAACAAAAGGCTGCAGAACTAGGATGCATAAAGGTAAGCAGGTAGATATTTTCCATGCAAACTTGAAAGTCTCATAACCTATGGAGAAAGAGTAGAAAACTGATTATTGACCACTGACTGGAGTTTGACTTGCTGCAGTTAGGAAGCAAATCAGTGTGAACTTGCCTCAAAAGTGGAAAACAAACATACTGTTCCACCAGTTACACATCTCTCCCCATGAAAAAAGTCCACACACTACAACACAAACACGCACTCATGGTCACTGCTGCTCTAGTGCCAATAGTTAAAAGCATCAGCCTGGATGCTCCTCGGCTGATGTCTGCACAATGGAGCTGTGGCACATGTGCACATTAGAGTCCACGCAGCAATGACGAAACAAGTGAACTTTTCAGGTCCACAGATGTTACCTAGGTTGTAATACTTTTTGTGTTGAATATGACAATGCCATATTGTGTCCTCTGGATTATCCTCTAGAGAAAGCACTAGAAGAAAATATTGAAGAGGACTACAAAGATCTCAGAGAAATATGGGATAATTTATATTCAGTAGAACAGAATTTATATCAAACATATGGGTATCGTGGGACAACTGAGAACCTATCAATAGCTCAAAATACACCTGAGTGAAAAATGACTCTCACCGGGCGTTGGTGGCGCACGTCTTTAATCCCAGCACTCGGGAGGCAGAGGCAAGCGGATCTCTGTGAGTTCGAGGCCAGCCTGGTCTCCAGAGCGAGTGCCAGAATAGGCTCCAAAGCTACGCAGAGAAACCCTCTCTCGAAAAAACAAAAAAGCAAACAAACAAACAGAAACAAACAAACAAACAAACAAAAAAAGAAAAATGACTCTCCATAAATTCCTGTAATGGAGCATTGAAATGTCATTCAGTATTTGAGCATCTCATCTGTGTAATCTATTAATTTCACAAATGTGTCATGTAACATTAAGCTCTGAAAGAGCTTTTACAGTGGTTTATTACACAAAACTCCTCTTCATATCCAAAAGAGTTTGCCATATGTCTATGTATTATTTTGAGGCTTTGAACATAAGTGCTGTGGTTTATTTGCTTTCTTTTCCTGAAAAAAAAAAAAAAAAAGAGTCTGTGGTAGAGCTCACTTTTACTTACACTTCCTTGTCTCAGTCCCATCATAAAGGGAAGCCAGGGCAGGAACTCAAGCCTGTCAGGAATCTGGAGGCAGGAACTGAACCAGAGGTGGAAGAGCAATGCTATTTCCTGGTGTGTTCCTCATCCCTTACTCAGAAACCTGCCTTATTTAACAGTTGTCCACATCTGTAGGAGGACCCCACCCACAGTGGGCTGGGCCATTCCACCTCAGTCAGTGGTCAGGAAAATGCCCCTGAAAACATTCCTCAATTTCAGTCTGATGAAGTCATTTTCTCCTTTCTAGTTCCCTCTTCTCAGATGTGTGTCCTTGTTTGTGTCAAATTTACCAAAATGTCCAACAGGTACCTCTCTGACACAACTCATGCCCTCCTAACCATGGCAACAACACACATCATAATTTAAGCCACCGTTCATCAATCAGGAATGTGAAGATGCTTCCACAGACTTGTTTGCAGGCCAACCTGAGGCATTTTCTCCTTTGAGGATCCCTGTTCTCTAACATCCCTCAATTGGTCCAGTTGATAACTAAGTCACCAACACATGCTTAGTATGTAGAATGCCAGAGGCCACAGAGTTTCACCACCTTATGTGATTGTTATGATTGTCTACTATCACCAGGACTTTGCCTTCTTGTCCACTCTTTTTGTGTCTCTTAATTATTTTACCTGTTTGTGTATGTGTATGTATTCTTGTGTACATGAGCTGGGCTAACAACATTTGGGGAAGGGATAAGAGAGGAAGGGATCCTTGATTATCAGATCAAGAGTAGCAGAAACTTTGTGACATCCACATGAATGTTGGTCATCAAAGTCTGTTCTACTGCAATAGCAAAAATTGTTTTTAACCTCCCAATCTGTGATAAGGCTCCTTCACAGTTCTTCTAGAAGTAAAGTCAATCCTCTACATCTTTACACATCTTTATGTATGGTCCATATTGTCCTTAACATTGACTAAATACTGGTGTTGCCTCTAAGATATTATAGTTGTAGTGGTCTAGCCTCCAATATTTACCTTGGCTACACTAATGCTTTCCTCATTTTTTGTAGAACTCCAATGGCTGAGGAAGACTGTGGATATGAATGTGATACTGAGTGTGATAAAAAGCAGGAAGCTATTACAGAGAATATCAGCAGTAAAGATATGCCTCCTGGAGTAAGAGTTCATGACAGCCCACTGCCTGGAAGAAACATCATTGGCCATTCATCCTCACAGGACGATCTCAGAGACCAAACTACACAGATACCATCTATGTGTATGGAAGCTATGGCAACACCTTATAGACAGCAGGGAGATTGCAAAGGTACCACTCATTCTGAATCACATCAGGTACTTGAGTGTTCTAAGTGTCAACCATGTAATGAAGCATGTAGGAGTCTCTCTTCTGATCATCCTCAGGAGAGAAGTCACACTGGAGACAAACTCAATGAGAATGACTTTGTGAGAGACACACATGACCAGAATGATGAAGGGACCCATAAAGAAGTGAAACACTTTGTATGTAAACTCCGTGAAGAATCCTTCATTGATCCCTCTGACCTTTTCTACCATGAAAAAAGCCATATTGGACAGGAAAGGTACAATTGTAGGCAATGTGGCAAAACATTTAAATATGCAGAATGTTTTGAGAATCATTAAGTAACTCACACAGAACGGAAGTCTTAAGCTTATAGGCATTGTGGAAAAGCATTTACTAGCTCCAGTATTCTTAATGTTCATCAAAGGATTCACAATGGGGAGAAACCTTATACTTGTAGGCACTGTGGAAAATGTTTCAGTCACTCTAGTAGTCATAACACACATGAAAGAAGTCACACTTGAGAAAAGCCTTATGCATGTAGGCATTGTGGAAAAGCTTTCACTGACCACAGTAGT